CCCCTGCTATCTGCTGCTGTGGAATGATGTGTAAAATATGAGTTTTGGAAGACTGTAGAGGAAAGAGGGCTGCAGATAAATGGGTACAACTTATGTAGGAGGATTTGTTTCACCTCTGTGTATCACCTGAATTTAGTCACTTCACTGGGTATATGTAACAGTTTACAACCACTTTATCCATTTCAATACTGGGCACTTTCACCCCTTCCTGCCCATGCCAATTTTCAACTTTTAGTGCTGTTGCACTTTGAATGATAATTGCATTGTCATTCAACTCTGTATCCATATGAAATTTTTTTGTCACAGATAGAGCTTTCTTTCTGTGGTATTTAATCACCACTGGGGTTTTTTATTTATTGCTAAACAAATGAAAAAAGACACAAGTTTTGAAAAAAACAAAAAATCTTTTTTTTCCAAAGGACACAGCAGTCTCAGGAAGTGCCCTGTGCGCACCCCAGGCGCATTCTGGGAAGACATCTATAGACGCCCTCCCAAAACAAGAGAACTTTGCTGTAGCCGTCTTTCGGCAATAGAGCATTATTAAAGTGGTTAATGGAAGTTGAAAAGTAGAAGACTTACTGGCAAGATGACCAGGTGAAAAGAGAGAAAGAAAAAGCACAGAAAAAGAAAACTAATGCAGCCATCACATTTAAGAATTGGTAGGCTGCAATATAAATAATATTTTTGCTTTAAATATACTCATTTTCATTTTGTTGTGAACATATTTTTTATGATTAAATGCAGTTGTTAACATGACTACATAAATAAGTAAAGTTAAAAAATCTGATCTGAATTATATCATATTTGATCATATTGGCAAAAATGTAGGTTTTTTTTTTGGTACTGGTATTAACTTGTTGACTGTGGTGAGTAATGTTAAATTACGTATACAGTAGCCAAGTCTCATCAGCAGTGACAAGTACTATTTTTTTAAGGACTTTGGTTGACCTACTTCCACATGACCTGTTTCTTGTTCCTCCACTGAAAGCATCACTTGGCTTGAGAAAAAGCTGAGGGGGTGGAGGGATACATACATAACCACTGCATTCTGTGCATCAGTCACATAGAGATTCTTTTTCCAATATGTATGCAAGCAGCTAAGCCTACTAATTTGTTTATCTGAGCGTGATATTGTCCTCAAGGTAATACAACACATAGCAACCAGAGGGAAGTGGGTCAGCTCACATTTTGGCGGCATCTTGCTACTTGTAATTAGTGACACATTTGTTTCTCCACAGTATAGGGAATAAAATGCATTACACTGTGCTTCACCTACAACTTGGGCTTTAAGGCCGGATTTAGTGGGCATTTTTATTGGAGATGTTCTAATATGGATATTGCTTTTAGGAGATCTGTCATTATAGAAATCCCTATGGAGTTTAATTTGCATATGTGATCTCAGTCACACAGCATCTTTCAGTTTTACTTTAAGTAAATTACTATATATATGTGTTAGGCATGTGGGTAGAACAACCAGAGCACACCTTGCTATGAGGCTCTGCCCATTGCTGCACAGCCTTTCCAGCAAATTCCTTCCTTCTATCGTGCATGCATGCCATAGCCTTATTCATTCCTTTGAGAAAGCCATACTCAAGGCAGCCTTTAACGGCCCAGCAGAATACAGCTTACCTATAGGAAGTAATGGGGCTGCAGCATGCATGTGCACTAAAAGAGGACTTATTAGCTGGAAAAGCTATATGGTACTGGGCAGGGCTTAACAGAGAAGATAACTAGATCTAGGCCAGGGGGTGGGCAATCTGCGGCTCTCCAGCTGGTGTGGAATTACATTTCCCATGAGGCATTGCAAAGACAGGAAGTTACAAGCATGACTCTACAGGTCCTATACATTGCAAAGCTGACAGTTCCAGCTATGACTTGCAGAGGCATTATGGAACTTGAAGTCCTGCAACAGCTGGAAAGCCACAGGATGCTCACCCCTGATTTAGGCGAATGGTATATATTTGAGCTAGTGGGCTTCACTCAAATGGTTGGTGTGGAAATTGATTAGAAGACAGTTGTACTAACGATTCAGTTGCCCTTTAAAGGGTATCTGCACTTTCGTGAAAAACAAAATTGCAAATAAAAAAAATATATAGTGTATACAATTGCAACACAAGTCATATTGTAATTGAATATTATTAAAAATGATCTTTCCTTTTCAATCTACAGCACTGTAGTTTTCTGTAAAAAGCAATGCAATATGGCAAACTGGAGGTGTTCTGTACACAGATGGAGTACAGAACTCCCCCCAGAAATGTCATTTCCTGCTAAAGTGATTGGCTTACTGATTTTCCCAGAAGCCTGCTCTAAGAGAAAAGTCAGATTTTGAGCACCCCCTACAACAGAAATGTCATTTTGGTGAGATACTCCCAAAGGGAAATCATGTCTTAAAGGATGCAGACTCTGCAGTTTTCCTTATTAGAGCCCTGCAGGTGCAGCAGCTGATAGATAATTATGAAGTCACTCCCATAAAGATTCACTCTGTACATGGACACAGACAACCCAACCGCTACTACTTTTTGCCACGTTTTCCATGCATATCAATGGGGAAGTGCGTTTTTTTACCGCATCAAACCTGCACCAAAAATGCAGCAACCAGGAGTTTGCTAAATGCTGCGGACCTGCAACAGATCAGTGTGAAGAGTTCCAAAGGACTACATGGTCACACCTTTTTCTTCTCCTGTTTTGTATAATGCAAAAGTGGAAGAAAAATGGATCAGTGACAGCAGCCTAAATAAAATTGTTAGCTCAGTAATAAGGGAAAAGAAACACCTAATCAGTATAGCATTGGACCACTCTAAACTCAATTACCATCTGCTATACTTCACAGCATTGATGCCATGAGGGCACTATAGCATTTCTGAGTCAAAACTGCAGTTGGAACCTGGATGACAACTGTTATTAACAGTTTGATACTGCGGTTCCAACTTTATTGCTATCTGTGTTTCCAAGTCCTGGCAATGCCTCCCCCCCCCCCCCCCCCAATTTCTTGTATGAATGTCACAGGGATAGGGAGCTAAAATCTCCCCAGTAAGCTAACACACAAAATAAAAAGGCATCTGACACACCTGGAAGTGTGTCAGATGCTAAAAAGTTTTAAGTTGCTGAATGTCTTGAAGATGGCAAAGATCTGGGGCAATGCCCAACAAAGGAGTAAGTAATATATCTTTTTTTGCAGGGACCTTTTTTTTTTATCTTTCAGGGTAATGTCACTTTTAGGAGTTCACACCATAGAACACAGTCCTAGTGCATTCCAGATGCGCTTCTGTATGCGCGTATCCTGTGTGCTTTTGATGCGTTCAGGTTTATTTTTTTCCCCTTCTCCTTTTCTTTAACTTAAATAAAGATGGTGTGTTCCGGTGCATTTTTGATGCATTTTACTGCATTTCAGTACAGTTCAGTGCAGAAAAAAATTAAGCATGTTCTTTTTTTTTTCCTGGAACTGGAATGCACTGGAACTGACCGCACTGGTGTGTGATCTATGACATTGGGAACCATGTAACCTACTATCAGTGCATTTTTGTTGCAGAAAAAAAAACACACTGGACTGCATGTGGTGTGAACTGGCTCTAAAGCAAAGCTTCCCAGTTTAGTTATACAACTTTGGGGTTTTTCAGTGATTGCTACTTTGGTGAAATGTATGAGAACCTGAACAATGAACATCAATTATTTCCTCCTGTTTGCTCAATTACATTAAAAAAAATATTGAAAGTGTTTTATCTTTTCAATAAGTGGAAAAGAATACTATTAATCATGCCAAAACCTTGCAAGCTCTTAACTTGCAGTGGTGATGGTTATCACTTAGCATTGTTCCCAGCTCTCTCTGTGGACTATATAGCACATCCCCCATGTGATGGAGAAGAGGAGAGGGGGAGCTGTTCTGTAGTCCTAACACACCTTGCCCTAGGATGACAATGCTGCTCCTCCATTGATACAATACAGTTAGTAAAGCTGGCCATACACGCATAGATTTTCATTTGAGAATTTTCGTTTCAAGAATATTCATTTGATTTTCTAATCATTACTGGGGTCAAAACGATGTTTGTTTTCTACAGTAGTGATGAAAAAATTTGAAGGGGCAGGAAGGAAAACTTTTCTCGATCAAACAAATTTTCGGCCATTGTATGTGGTTATTGTTCAGAAATTACATTCATTTTAAAATCTAATGTTAAATGCAAAAGACAATTTTCAAACGTCATTTGTCCATTCATCGAATGTGCAAAGAACTTTCGTAAGACTTTTCTTACGGATATTCTCGGCTGAAAATCTACACGTGTATGGCCAGCTTAAGCATTATCACCTTAGGACAGGAAGTGTGTTACTGGCTGGTTATTACTATTATTATTACACAGGACTTGTATAGCACCAACAGATTCCGCAGCGCTTTACAAAATGAAGGCAGACATTACAGTTACAATACAATTTGGTATAAGAGGAAACAGAGAGCCCTGCTTGTTAGAGCTTACCACTAATATTTAAAATGTTCTTTGGTATAGGTACACTTTAATTTATAGGCATCAGTCTTGCAGAGTTTGGGGAAATTTTAAAATAATGAATCATTCAATAAATATATAGTTATTCATCTTTACCTCTCAAGTCCGTAGTGGTGGTGGTTTTGTTTAGACAATTATCCATTGAGAAATTGCAGCAGCACGTGAATGCATGAGATCTGTTTCTGGTAAAAAAAAGTTTGTTTGTAATAGACATGTTAAGAAGACAGCGAAGTGTACCTGTGCCTGAGGGTGTCTACTTTTCACTCCTAAGGTTATTTTTTTTTTGACAGGTTTCCTTTTATCATTAATATACTGTATGTGATAGAAAAGAAACAGAGGAAGAAAATTCAAATTGCAGTGATTTGCATTTCTTGTCTGCTCAGATAACAGTGAACAGTTGCACATTGCTTTTGTATGTATTCTGACAGGTTACTGCATTCATTATTTGTAAATGTATTCTACTGTGAATACAGGTACTGTAATGCCTGGTATATTTTGTACTTGCAGCACATGAGGGTCATGGAGGACATGCTAAAAGATTTTCTGCTTGGTGAACATTTATTGCTGGTCGGAAATCAGGTGAGTGTACTTGTAGTATTTACAGATGTGTTCACAAATGCAGGCCATACATTTGGTCGAATTCCGAATTAATGTTCTTTAGAAATACAGAAATTTTGTTTGTTTTGTAATATGATGGTGCAACCATTGATTTCAAACTTCGGCCAACCAAGCTTTTTACCACTTGCCTACTGGGCACTTATACCCCCTTCCTGCCCAGGCCAATTTTCAACTTTCATTGCTGACGCACTTTGGATGGCAGTTGCGCAGTCATGCAACACTGTACCCATATGAAATTTGTATCATTTTTTTCACACAAATAGAGCTTTCTTTAGGTGGCATTTAATCGCTGTTGGTATTTTATTTTTTGCACTATTGCAAAATTTGAAAAAAAAAATGTTTCTTTGTTTCTATTATAACATTTTGCAAACAGGTAATTTTTCTCCTTCACTGATGTGTGTTGATAAGGCTGCACTGATAGGCACTGATGGGAAGCACTGAGCGGCACTGCTGGGCACTGACTGACGGCACTGATGGGTGGCACTGTTGGGAACTGGTGGGTGACACTGCTGGGCACAGGTGGGCGGTACTGATGGGTGGCAATGCTGGGCACTGATCATCAGGGCACTGATGATCAGTGCCCTGATGATTGGTGCCGATCTGTCCTCTGATAATTGCCGGTTATTGGCAGCACTTTCCTCGTGCTGTGACAGCATGAAGAAAGTGCAGCTGATAACTGGCAACTGCATTTACTGGTGATCTGCTGTGTCATTGGACACAGCTGATCACGTGGTAAAAGGCCACTGTGATTGGCCTTTTACCACATCACGTGATCAGCTGATCACAGAGATCACGTGATCACAGAGATCGACGGGTGAGCGCCCCTGGGGGCGTGCGGGAGGGCACGTTCTGGGAGGACGCCATATAATGCCCTCCCAGAACTGCGCTGTAGCTGTCATTTGGCTATAACACAGTTGGCAAGTAGTTAATTTCACCTCAATGTTGCTACAGAAAAGGGTTTTCGTGGCCAAAAATTTTCTTTTCTTTCCAAGTCACAGCTCATGCTCATTTCTTTTTCGATTACATTTCTCGCACGATTTTCCATCATTGATTAGAAATTCGTTTGTTTTTTTAAAAAATGAACAACTTGTCTGATCACTCAAATTCGATGGTTGCTCAAAAATCGGCTGTTGCTGTGGCCCTCTAAAGGTGTGAAATTCGAACGTAAATTCTTAGAACAGATTTTTTAAAGAAATTTCTTTCAGAATTTGACTCGTGTATGGCCAGCTTAAATGGAGGGTTTTCCAGTAAGCTTACAAACTTGTGTGTAACAAGGGTTGGTAATGGCCATACATGTGTTGAATTCCGAATGAATTTTCTTTAGAAAATCGTACGTTTTTGTGCATTTTATAATCTGATGGTGCCACCATTGATTTCGAAATTTGACCAACCAAGTCTTCAATTTCACCTCATGTTGCTACAGAAAAGAATTTTTGTGGCAAAGAATTTTCTTTTCTTTCCAAGTCACAGCTCACGCTCATTTCTTTTTCGATTACATTTCTCACACAATTCTTCCATCATTGATTAGAAAGTTGTTTCTTTTTCAAAAAATTCCAGCTTGCCTGATCACTCAAATTCAGTGGCCACACAAAAATCGGCTGTTGCTGTGTACACTTTGTAAACAGTGTTAATCTTCTGCAGCTTACATGAGCTTCCTACTTGGAAGGTGTAAATTGGAAGGTTATCATTGTAAACGTCATCTGTCTAAACTTCTCTATTTTAATCCCTGTTGGGACTTTTATAAAAGTGTTTGAATGAAGAACTATCTGTATTACCAATAACAATCAGATTCATCCATTTGCACATATTCTATAAACAAGTTGGTTACAGTGGTAACAAACATTTTTCATCGAACACAAGATTTGTAACTTGTATTATTGAACTTCAGATGACCAAGTATATTGTTTCCTTGTTGGTTGATCTGGAAGACCCAGTGCAAAGGGGTATGTTATGCCTGCTCTGATATTCAAGTCTTTGCCACAAAGAAGCAGCATGGCAGCTAACATTGAGCTTTTAGTGATGTCACTGGATTCTTTGCTCTAATATAGGGAATTATCATAGAACTGCCTGAATGACACTTTAAGCAGAGTAAGAATCACTTATGTTAAGTGTTAGCATTATCTCAAAATACATTTGTTCCAGATGCAGTGCTCTGTAAAACCCCAATTGATTCATGCAGCTTACTGTATGTCCATCTGCCATAGCAGACAGATTGTCTGATGTGCCTATGAACAAATGCTTACCTTACACGCACCCACATGAGTCCTGCAGTATGTCATGTACGCTTTGGCAAGCAAAGCCTTTGCATCCTATATTCAGTTTGCACAAAGTAACAGTATATGTTAGCACCACAAGAATGAGCTGGCGCAGTTTACCTACCTTGGGCTTTTGTTTTTAGCCCAGGTTTTTTGGAGTATCATATTGAATGTCCTGCGAAAACCATGTTGCTCTGTGCTGAAATGACCAAGTACTCCTAATTTCAAACAGTGAACTTGATTTACTAAAACTGAAGAGTGCAAAATATGGTTCAGCCGTGCATGGTAACCACTCAGCTTCTACGTTCAGCTTGTTCAATTAAACTTTGAAAAAAAGAAAACTGGAAGTTGACTGGTCTGTATGCAGAGCTACACCAAATGTTGCACTCGCCAGTGTTAGTTTTAGTAAATCCCCCCCCCCCATTGCCTTTCTTTTGTTTTCCCTTCACTATCTAGGCTATTGCCCCTACCCTGGATAGAGCTGCCCTTTGCACTATTTCTGAATCTCCAGTGCTCCTGTAGTCCCAAGCCCCGCTTTTCCAGGTCATCTGTACAGCCGTATAGAACAGCAGCCTTTAGCTTTGATTAACGTCAAGTTAGTGAAAGGGCTGGTTTACACTTTCATTGAATACATTTTTGATGCTTGAACCGTGTCACTTGCCCTGTGTGTGTTGGTTTTTAATTTGTTTTAAAGTGATATCAGATGGAAACTGATTATGAGGAAGTCCCCAGATTTGAGGTGTGGTTAGGTGCTGTTGTGGTATCTAGTGGTTTTTTTTTTGGTGTTTTTCATGGCTTAATTGTACTCCCGCTCATCACTTTCCTGGCTTATTAGTACCCCTGCTCAGTAGATCTCCAGCTAATTGGGTACATCTCTTGCTCAGTGGTTTCCTGGCTCCGTAGTACTCCTGACTTAGTTTAGATCCCTTGCTCAGCAGTTTCCTAGTTCACCATATCCCCTGCTCAGCATTTTGCCCTCCCTCTCACATTACCACCTAGCTCCCTGCTTAGTAGTACATTCCCGACCCTCCTCACCAGTACATATCCCCTTCCCCCCACTGAAGTACCCCCATACTCAGTAGTACATTCCACTCCTGCTCATAACACCCCCCTCCCCCGTAGGCTAGTAACACCCCCACACAAATAGTTAGTAATTAAGTTATATATTAGCTGTACTGGCTCCCCTGAAGACAGGATAGTACCTCCAAAGGGCAGGGAGAGAACTAGCATTTACCACAGGGCTGAGCCCATGGCTATAAAGGGGAGATTAGAATGGAAATTGGGTGCCAGTCACTTCAGGTCTTTTCAAAACTTTAATGTTGAATTTGGAAAGGAGGTGGAAGGAGAAGGTTAGCGGTTTCAGATGCCATGCAGGTCACTTGCGGACTGCTTGGATCCAGAAAAAATATCAGATTCACAGTGTTAGTACCTTTAAACCGACCCGGGCAACAATGCAAACACATTTTCAGAGTCTAATGCATCCTCCAAGCGAGTAACCAGGGTCTTTTGAGAGACCATCTTCATTTTGGCTCTCTCCAGCAAGGGGCCTCCCCTGCATCTTCTCACTTCGGCTTTCTCCACCCTGGGAAGGACAGCCTTAGGACCACTTCAAAGCAGAGCCTAACATGGAGCTCTCTTCAGCAGCACCTCCTCAGGCCTCAGCCTGAGGCAAGCGATCAAATCAGGAAACCACTGAGCAAGAGATGTACCTGATTAGCTGCAGATCTACCCTAAATATTTTTATCATCTCCCAGCATGCATCAGTTGCATAGAACCTCCTACTGGGTTGACTGAAAGAAACATGAATATTTATAACTCTCTGTGTGCACTCTGATACTATGATCTGTTTTACCAGTGACACCTACTGGTGACCATGAGAAATGCACAACCCAACTGAGATGAGGGGAAAGCCAAATAAAGATTTTTTTTCTCATTTTGTCCCTCATAGTTGAGGTCTACCTATGATGCCAATTACAGGCCTCTCTCATCTTTTTATGAGAAAAGGAGAGAAGCACCTCTAAGTGCAATAAGTCTTTTTATTCAAGTCTAAATGTAGAAACACTCACATGTGTGAAGTAATCATAAGCTTAAAAACCGTGGTTAACAATAGTTAACGGTGGGGTGATAACCCGGGTGAAGAGCCGTCATCTTACTGCGATGTGGGGAGGTCAGCTCTGGGCTGGAACAGCGTGGTGGCTGGAGGGGAACAGCGGTGAGGCCGGCCGGCGTGCACGTCCTCCCTCAGAGCCAGATGGAATGCACGCTGGAACGCTGCGGCGGCGTGGCCGTGATGACGTCAGATCCCAGGGTGCACTGCGACGCGTTTCGGAGCATGCGCTGGCCGTGGAAGGCGGAAGTGCGCTCCTTTTTCAAGCAGGGGGAGGTGGATGAACAGGGGTGAATATATAGGGAACGTGAGTCTAATTGATCAATTAACCAATTAACCAGTGATTGACCATTGCTGTAAGGTGAATAGTGTAAAGTCATGGATGTTAAATGGGGGGGGGGGGTAAAGGAAAACAAATGGAAAAAAGAGAGGATGTAATAAATAAGAAAAAAGAAGAAAGAAAGAAAAATGATGAAATTAAAAAAATGATGAAAAAATGAAAAAAAAGAATGAAATGAAAAATGACATTAATAATAGATTTTTGAACAGTTGAAAATCGAAGAAGCTATGTGAAAAAAGATGATGGGGGTAATAAGAAT